GCACTCTATGTGAGTAGGAAAGTTAATACGCTATATACTGCAAAGGGGGAAGGGTGAAAATCCTCAGTCAAGGTTATATGCCAGAGCTGGTCTGCACAAAAGAATGAGGAATACTGGTGCAAAATAAATGATAAAAGTGTTGGTAATTTAATATATATACTGTATTAACCAGAAGGTGCAGAGGGAAAATACAGAATCATATCCAACTGCAGAACACCTGTATGCTTTTTTTCTAAGTTTCAATACAATATGCCACTATGTACTGTATATCAAATACAAATCAGATAAAGCTGTACTTTTAAAAACTAAAAACAACAAAAAGCAGGCAGTAGTGTGAAAACACTAGGCCAAGTACAACTTCAGCCCCACTTTTACAAGAAAAGTCATTTCAGGTGCATAACTATTGCATATTCTAACAGACATGAGAAAAGTAAAATGTAAGTAAGAAATCATACAAAGTCCCTAGGCTGTTTAGGAGTTTCTCCTTTTTTAAAGGTTTGCAATTTACAGTGAAAGCCAACAACCAACCTCTACAGTGCATTGTATTTGACAAAACACGGTATAACCTTAGTCTAAAGCATTTATGAGCTACAGTTTGTTATTGCGCTTGCACAATGCTCGTCTGTCCTGCTTTACGGCCATAATATACAGCAAGCCTGGCTGTTGTGCTCCTTCACCCTCTGTGGAATCATCAACTTCATCCCACAAATAGTCCAATTCCCCAAATCTATATTCTGTCTTGTAGCAGCAGTGTTGAACATCTGTCCACTATTATACAAGGAAACTACATTTTCTTCCATAAATATGTTGGTACTTTAACTTTAGTATCAACTTTCTGCCTTGGAGGACTCGGCCGTGCTTCCTCTTCCTCAGCAACTTCATCCCAAAAAACACAAGGCAGAGAAAAGTTTAATGTCATTCATGTACACGTATCCTCAAACTAGGGCAATAGCAATAAAGTCTCTATTTTTTCCCCCAGCAATCTACACATAAAATCATAAAAATGAAGCATGAACTTTCTGCTACATGGGAATAAGTCACACTATGGCCCGAAAATGGTTGAATAAACACCTGACAGTGTAAACAAAGATTGAATATCGAAAGTTTCAGATATAATACTCATTGCAGGACAGCTGTATTGGATTGCATTAGACCTGAGAAAACTTGAATTACGGCTTAACAGGAAAATGTGAGAGCTTCCTCGTTCTCCTCCTTTCTTGGTCATTAGCAAAGGATCAGTGTGATATTTTAATAGGCTACAATTCATTATTTTACCATAGCTAGACTGTGTATAGATAAATAAACTCTCATTTTAACCCACATGACAAATGACTATTCAGCAACTGAGAATTAAGTCATGTGTACCTGAGAACCCAGTGTTCTGAGACCAGATTACCTTCCACCATTGCGGCAGACTATCAAATACGCCATTCATTGTTTGTCGTACTAGAATAAAAATTACAAGCCTGTTCTTCTTCTTTTGCGACTTATTGGCGGTTTGCACGAATTATAGGTTTTTACTGTTGGTCCAGGCCAAAACGAAAACACAAACACAAAATCAGAAAATAGACCTACTTACCAATGTCCCGCTAATCAACGTCTAATTGCATGCACCTGCCGTCTCAGGCATGAGCGTTGTGACAAACATTTCTTTGCCTAATTAAAATTCATAACTTTATAATATTTCTGTTCAATAAAAACTGTCACGACTGAAGCACTCGAACTCAACTAAACTCCCGAAGCGTATGTTATTTTGTCAGTGAAGCACCGGACTCAGGTAGCAGTCTGACTACGATGTTGAACGTCATTTTACAACTGAGATCTGATTGGCTCTTGGGCCTGTCAGTCAACGTTTGTGTCATTATTGTAACCCATGGCAACCAATCGTTTCTGAAGAGCGACGAGCAAACTATGGTTTTTAAACAGGTAAAATGTTTTTGTTCGTCTATAAACTGTAGCTGTAACATCTACTACATCACACTTAAAATTTCGTGTGACATAATCAGATAGAAAATAACGGGGTTATGTACATTTACTCAAAAATTGTACTTAGGCACAATTTTGAGGTAGGGTACCTAACAAGATGGGCTAACGTTTCCATTTTATTATACGTGATACTTCCACTTCCTTACTTTTAACTGTTTAAGTGCATAGTGCTGACAGCTTAAGTAATATTTTTAGATCATACTAGACTCAGGCTAACGCAGTATTGAGGTGAAGTATCTGAAAACTGGATAATCAGAAATATGATCATGGTTAGCTACTAAGACTGCAACATGGAGATGTATTGCTTATAATAGCTATAAGCGGTTATTCTGCAAAAGTAGTTTTACATCTGATATTTAATGCCTATTTTTCTGATAATGTATTATCAGAAAATGCATTGTAAATTATAAAACAAGTAAGATTTTGAATACCGGACTTAGTGTTAGGATCTGCATATTTAATCCACTGTTCCAAATAAACAATTAACTTTAGCAAGTATAAACTGAAAAACACTCACATTTGAAGACTTAGTTAAACTTCTTTTTCTCTCACACATAAAGTAAATTCAGATCAACTTTTCCTCTACTATATCCCTGCCTACACAATTTTCATACCGTCCACAAGATGGCGCCACTCGCATTAATAATGACATTTAGGGCTCTGTAATGCCAGTGTGTGTAGCATGTGTATAACTATCGGTATCAAAGACAGTCAATGTAATGTAACACGGATATATAGATAAAAATTATTGATGTAGTGGTGTGCTCAGCATGTTATTTTCAAAGAACTTGTACTGGAACTTTATCCCTCTCTTTAATGAAGCTATCCTAAGAGCAAGGATGCCTCCTAGGAAAACAAGAAGTGCAAAAAGCAGTGCAGCCAGAAAGGGAACAGGTAAAGGTGAGTGTCTGAATAGTAATACAGTGTTAATGAGGGTAAGTGCATGTATGTTTGTTTTTGGAAGATCTCTAACAGAGAGACACAGTACATAAAAGTAAGCTGACTACTATTTCCCATTCAGGCAAAAAGATTGAATTGCCTACTCCAGTGGAAAAGTCTGGTAGGTGAAAATTAATTACTTTTGCATATTGATTTATTCATCCTAAATCATGTCTCAGAGCTGCTAAAAAAACTTTCATTATTAAATAGTTATATTTACATCAACTTGAAGAAACTTTTAAACAGCTTACATTTTGGAAATCCTACATGGCCCTTTTATTATTATTATAGCATTTTAAGCCTTAATTTTAGTTTACTGAACTTTAAAATCAAATATAAAAAGTCCTTTTAATGTCCACTGGAATTAATTTCCTTCATTTAGATATTTTTAAGGATTTTTTTCTACCATTTATTTCTTGTAAAATTCTGGACAATTAATCTTCTCTATCTTTATTGACATTATGCATAGCACAACAAATTTTTTTCCAGCAGCTCTTGGCTTAAAAGACAGATTATTTACATAACACACAATTGTATAAGTGAATATAAAACTATGAGCAAATAAAAAGGGATGTATGGGACCTAATCAGGTCAGCAGCATGTTAGCAGCAAAAGAGTGTAGTAACATTATCAGGTGCAGCTCAGTGCAAATCTCCTGTGGTCCTGTGTTCAGGACCAATTAACTGAAAAGACGTGCTTTACTGTGAAGCAGCAATATAACAAGCGTGCTTGAAACTAAAACTCAGAGATGTCTCTGAGGAGTCTGAAAAGCTGCATTCTTCTGATGTGATCTTGAGTTTACTGTTGCATAGTCTTTGGACATGCAGCTGTGGACATTGTCAAGGTTTGTTCAACATACTAGCCCTTAAAACATGCTCTTGGTCAATTGCAGATCAGCTGTAGTGTATCTTTTTTTATTTGATTTATTTATTTTTTACCAGAGAATAGGTCATTTGTGTGTTCAAAGTAATTGTGTTAAGATTCTTCAGACTGGCTCTGTTTTGTACATTCATTCATTTATTTCATCTATCTCCAATGTACACAGCGGTATCAGTGCTGTTCAATCTCCACAATGACCACATCCTAAACAGATGTTTTTAACCCTAAAATTGAATGTGGGTACCTAAAGTTTTGTCCCTAAATGGGAGTTTGTTCCCCAGCGTGTGACAATAACAACATGGTGGTCTTTCATGCAGATTTTGTTTACTCCTAAACAGGTTTGTCGGGAGCATTGATTATATATAGTATAAAGGCAACCTTAACAACTAGTTACTGCCTATTGTGCATGCTTAAATTTTTCACTAGCCTCAAGAGAAATTAAAACAAACAGAAACAAATTGATCATGTACTGTGGTATTATATAAATATTACAGTAAACACATATATTCACAAGTATTCCAGCCTTGAGGAAATTATGCAAGAGGAAAGAGGCCTGACAAATTTAAAAATATCTCTTTGGCATAGCCTGCAAGTGCAGAGTAATTGCATTCTTGAGGACTATGGAACATTGCACGTGACACTCTCTTTGTCTCACAAGCAAATATTTCCCATGAATGCAAATGCAATAGTTGACACATAATTCTGTGAAAAGAGGGGTATGAGTTTCCCCTACAGTGATTTGACATAAGGCATACTGTACATGGTGTGAGATGAAAAGGTCGACACCCAGTTGGGAAGTGGTTACTTGAGCTGTACTTAAGCATTCCCAGTGTGCCCTGAGCAACCCTGTGGAAAAGCTTTGAAGACTGAGACCGCAAGCAGGATGAAAACTGTCATTACACAGAACCTGGTTTATTGTAGTGTGCCCTGGACTGAGCCTGGCCTCAGATATGGAGGCATCTGCATAAATTGTTTATTGAGGAAAACTTTATTGTGGTGATGTCACAGTGCTGGGGTTTTATATAATAATAATGCCCATAACGGATCAGTTTATGCCATGAATTCATGCATTATTGATCTGCAGCATTCCCCCGACAGACATTTGGACTATCCATGTTGGTTGTTCATGGATTGCATTTCACCCTGTGATACTGTAGGGCGGTCTGACCTGCAGGGAAAGGCAGGTAAAGGATCAAGGACATTGTTGTGTGATTAGAAAAGAAAGGGCAAAATGTTTATGTCAGTGTCTGGTGGCAAGGAAACTTTAAAGCCTATGCACTGTGTGAATATTACTTGATAAGTGAGATTTAGATTCTTACTTATGGCAACTTTACATTCACATGACTCATAATTGTGTTTGTGTCTTCAGCACAGTTAGGTGGCAGCTTATGGTGTCAGTATGTTCAGTGTCTCACCTGACACTCTAGGCTGAAAAGAAACCAGGTAGACTAGCTTTAAGATGAAGGAAACTGAACATTTGCTGTCTTAGCCCATGAAATTTGCAATAATTTGCCAAACAAAACTGTAAAAACTTTCAAAAATCAATTAAGCTAACAAGCAGTGATCTGAATTGAGGGCTTTATCCAAACACTAATAAAATAAAAGCTGTATCTGTTCACTGTCCTCTTAAAGTTGAGGGTTTAGACCCAGCTAATTTTGGCATATGATTTCTGCCATACTTCTTGACTATATTAACCCCCTCACCAAGATCACCCTGAGGATATCTTCCCCATGGTTCTGACATCAGCCACCCAGGAGCTCTTTGATTGCCGTGCTGATGAGGATGTCACAGGAGAGAACCCTTACAAGCTGCTCAAAAAAGACAACATCCTACAGGACATTAAGATAAGGGCTGCAGTGTCTGATTTCAGCCCTGTGAAGAAGATTGTGGTGGTGAGTCTGATCCGTTGTCATATCACTCCAACAATAGCCCCAAGAAACTAAGATGATACACAGACCCCAAGTTAGCGGCTGTGGGAACAGACAGCATAACTAGCTTAACCTTATTACTTTATACAGTTATGCCCTTTCTTTGACACTGTAATGAGACCAGATACTGTAGTGCTCTTGGAGACCCATACAGACTCATCAATTTTAAACCCTAAGTAATGTCAGCTTTCTTATTTGGGACCCAGCCAAGCCTGGCCTTGGGTTTAGTGATATGTGTAAATGTCTGTCTACACATCACTCCATATTCCACTACTCTAGTTTGAAGTACTCCAGTGCAAAGTTTCATCGTGGTTATTAGAATAAATACACATACACTACTGTAAACTTGTCCAAAATGTAATGAAAACATCTAAATGACATGAATTACAAACTCTGACGCTGCTATCTCTCCACTGTTGACAGGACTACCCAGAGGATGAGATCTTGTTGGTTTATGACAAAGACTTCACTTCTGGTCAGAACTTCTACCTGGTTCTGACACCGCAGACTAAGGACAGTCTCCTGAAGGTAAGAAGGGGGTAATTTGGGTTATAGTAACAAGGTGCACATTTGTTTTTCTATTACTTTTGTCCTTTCTAATAGCCTGTGCAGTATGGCACATGAGCCTACTGTATGTTTGTGTCAAGGCCGGCAGCTGATTGGATCACTCATAGGCTGGCGGTGGTAAATAAGAGGCTGGCCACCCACTCGCCAAGCTAAGCAATTCAATGGATGAGCCTGGTAACTCACGTTTCTACCTTGGCAACCTCTGCGATTTCCTAATAGTCTGAATTTTGTGACTTTCATTGTGACATAATTGAGTGCATGTGTTCTAAGTATATATACTAAGTATATACTGTATATTAAGTATATAACTATTCTAAGTATACCATTATGATATTTACTGAGGTCTAAATACCTGAGTTGTTTGGATAGTACCAGTGTTGGGTCAAACAATTCTGTAGGCAGAAATGTTTTCAATAAAATTTCCTTTTATGCTGACAGTATACTGTCAGTATACAGAGAGTATGTGTACTATTTCATCACTAGTATGAGAAGCCATTCATTTGGACAGCCTCATTATGCTTTGCTAGCTGACATATGAACTCATTTTGTGACATCTTACAAAGTCATTTTCCAATGTAGTGTGTTCCTGTTTTTGTTCTCTTTTATGTATTTTAGTGTAATCCTTTGGATGTTGTGCAGCCCCCAGAGCCTGAGACACCAGACGTGTTTCAGAATGAAGCCAATAAAAGTCGAGAACCAAAGCAATGGATCTCTCTCGGCAGTGAGAAGGAAATAGATGAAGAATCTGTCATAGAGACCAGAGGAAAGGTATTTCAATATATATGCAAACACATTCAATATGCATATTAAGTCTGATTATTTTCACTCTATTCTGTCTCATTTTTGTCATCAGCTGTTGTACAAATGCTCCAGAGTGAGGAAGAAGTTTGGTGCACCAGTTTCTTTTTCTGACCGCAACACTACAGATGCTAATGATGGCTACTTGGCGTGTACTTCCTATCAGCATAGTAGTTTCAGCATCAAGCAGATGCAGAAGGACTGTATGATTCAGGCTGTTCCCAGACTGCAGAGCAGCAGTGCTCAGACACAGTGGTATGCCAGCAAATCAGAATATTGGATTCATTCTACAAAGAAAAAAGCTATTACAGGTTCTGTCAGCATGTGCCTTCCTGGTAAAATTACTTCACTGGCTGTGGTGCACTAAGACAACAAGATATTAACACTGTGTGTAATATTTATATTTATATCTTTTGCACTTCATATCTATGAGCCTTATATTCATGAAGACTGTCTTATGTAGCCATACATTATAGACACATTGACCAAATAGCATTCACCCTACTGTATATCATCTTTTCTTTCTTTATTGTAAGTTAATAGTAACTGCAGGCTGATAAATGTTTTGTGTTGAGAGCCTTATGTTCATTTTATAGGAAGTATCAGAAGAATATATCTACCCAGTATAAGGCAAGAGAGTTAAATAATGAAGAAACGGAAAACACCCTCCTGGCTGAGAGTCTGAAGTCGGCGTTGCCCAGGTAAAATATTGTAGTGTTATATTATGTCTGCTTCCAAGAGAGTATTTATTGTATAGGAAACCTGCACATTTCTGTATCAGCCATGGGCTACTTAAGCCCTCCCATTACCAACATTAGAATATTCACAGGGAATATGATGAAGTTATTGTAGGACACTTGTGAATGCCACTTACCTTCACAATCCACAATATTTTGTGTTGCTGTACTTGCCTTCACGCCCAGGTTTATGATACTTACTAATCACCATCTTTAAAACCACAGCATATTTAATTCTATGGTTTTGTGTGTCCAGGTTAAGCAATAAGATAAAAAAATATCATGAACCTTAGCACAAACTTTTTGTACTGTAGCTTTAGCTATAGAGAGACACAACTGAGAAAAACTGAAATGACATACTCTTTTATGAAAGTTTTGCTTAAAAACAGTTTATTGTTTTGCAGGGTTTTGCATGCCCTTCAACAGGAAGAGATCATGAATGTGTTCTCTGATGACTGGAAAGCTCTGGGGGCAGGTGCTGAAGCTGTTGGCTGGTCTGAGACGGTTTCTGAAGGTTTAATGCTTTATCAGGGCTTCACAGACCAGAAATACACCAAGGACAAGAAAATAAGCAGCATTAACTGGCATCCCACCATTTATGGTAAAATACAATATCTCAGTCAGGGAACAGCTTTGTCTACCAGCTTGCAACTGCATACAAAAATACTGATTAAAATTGACTGTGCCATCTTCACCTAATACTTTCAGTTCAGCATCCTCAACAATTTTTTTGTTCTTAGTAAAAAAAAAAAAAAGAAACGAAACCTTTCAGCCACGTTTAATGTCAGAGCAAGTTAAATCAGTATTGAACCCTTGGTCAAACTATATCAAGGCTTGGGGAGGGTGCAGTATTTCGCAACAGGAGATTACGCCTTTTAAGTGCCTGCAGTAGCAGTGTTGATGGACAATGTTGGAAATAAATGTAACTAAAATAAATGATGTAATCTCAGTGTCACTGACAAGTATCAGAATTTCATGTTCATATTCATCAGTACTTCGTAACACTTGTAATGTTGCCTAATTGTCATCACTCATAGCACAGGATTCCAGCAAAATCCAGAATAATAAAATGAGTGCCAGAACATGTGATCAGTATAAATATATCTTGTTCAAGGGGATAAGAGTTGATCCACCACTTTCTCAGTCAGCAAAGTTAAGAAGACTTTGTAGCCACATTTAACCACATTTTCCTGTTGCTGTAGTTGATACATTGTATGATGTGTTTTTTGATGTGGCAGGTGTGATAGCTGTGGCTTTGACAGAGAAAAAGGAGGAGTGGTTGAACGAGCTCCCTGACGTCAGACATTCTTTCATCGTCTTCTATAGCTTTTCTGACTTCTCTAATCCCCAGGTATGGCTGGAAGGATTTGCTTTGTGCTGTCATTCAAGACCATTATTTGCTTTAGGAAAAATTTGATAGGCTTTATCGATTTGACCCAGGCGCTCAATCAATAAAACTGAGCTGCTAAATCACTCAAAAGTAATATGAGTTCTGCATGACTTGTGCCTTCACTGGCACATGTATCATGCTTTGGTTTCAGTGTCAGCTGGAGGAGTAATCAAAGTAACAGGGGATACAGTGCAGAGGAAAACAAAAATATTATATGATTCAAATAAATGTACTGATTATTGCAGGGAATAAATGCTGTAGTCCAGTCATGCATCTAATTATAAACTTGAGCAGATTTAAACATGAGAATGAAAAAAAACGATTGTTCTGTAATACTATCCTGTCTGTTCTGGGTCTTTTTCCCCATTTTGCCTGATGAAATAGAATCTACTGTATGCCCTTGGTTTCATGGATTAAAAGTTGCGCTTTGTGTGGACAGACTTGAATAAATAAATAGTTGGGATGGCAAGCACCCAATACATGGAAATTTCTACTTTGAAGTATAATGTTTACGGTATGTCCAGTGTATGCGGGTTTCTGTGTTTTTTGCAGTTGCTGCTGGAGTGCCCAGATGACATTTTTGCCTTCGAGTTCTGCCCCTCTGATCCAAATATTATCGTTGGCGGCTGTAAAAATGGCCAGGTGCTCATTCTTAATGCCGCATATCTGCTTGGCTGCCTTTATTGCCTTTTGTACCTTACTGCTGTCTCAGTAATCTCTTTTATCTCCCATGTCCTCTTTTTATTTTAATCAATTATGGTAAACAAGATAAATACATGACTAAGGTCACATTAGTCATGTACTTCATATCCCATTCTTTTCCCACTCCACTGTCTCTAGTCTCAGTTAGTTTTTATTAACATTTGATCAGATGGATTTGAATGCTTTTTCATATGAAAGTGTTTGCACCAACAGGTTCAGATGTTAATCTTCAGATTTTATGTTGCTTTTGTCTCAGGTTGTGTTATGGGACATTTCTGCTCACATCACACACTTACAGGGATCACAACCTAGTGGTAAAAACATCTCTGACATGTTTGTAAGTACTTATATCCTGTCTCCAATGTGCACAATGTTGATAAAATAATACATGGTGTGGTGGTGTATTACATGTGCTATCAGTTATGGTAATTCTTTTGCTAGTGATGATGTCATCTTGGTTTATTCAAGTATGGGTCCTCAGTTTATCAAAGCATGTGGCATATTTGCTGTAAAGACAGGCTGTAGCTACTCCTCAGTGGTGCTGCATGACAGCACGAGATGATGATATGTTGACTCCTGAGTTCTCTTCTCATCCTCACCCTTTCATTAGATGGGAATGCAGTGGTCTAATGGTACTTTTCAAGCCAGCCACTGCTGTCAAAACCAGCTACACAGTTAATGCCAGGAATAAATCTCAAAGCAAGTTTACAGTATATCATCACATGACCTGACTGCCAAAGCAAAGCAGCCTATTAGGCCTCATACAAACACCTCAGTCACACTGAAGTGATTTAACTGAGTGAAAATTATTGTATTATGTCAAGTAATAAAGAAAAGGTGGGGGAAGAGAACGGTAATGATACATTACAAAAAAAAACAGGGCTCAAATTTAAACCCACAACTTTGCTAGTACTTTAAATCCACTGTTCCTTTTTGAGACATCCAGACACCAAATATTAAACTACCTTTGTCCCTTATAGCCTTCATTGATATCTTCCACTTGTATTTAAATAGACCCATATGCCTCATCATCCAACCTCCATTTGCTTTGTGTGTTTTTATTGCCTCTACAGTGGACCAGCTGTCTCCATCCCTCTCCTCAGTACTTCCTTCTCTTTTGCTTTCGCCTCTCCCACCTTCTGTACCTCCACCCGTTTTCTTTGTCCTTGTTTGCTCTTCATTCCCCAGAGTCAATAGCATCAGCTCACATACTCCAGCTGTTACACAAGCCCTCAATCTACCAGCATAGTTTGTCCCCATACAAGATAGCACACAAGCAAATCAGATCACTGCCCTTCCCAGTGTTTGCAGTGTAAACATGGCAGTTGTATCAGCTAAAAGGCTTTGCTTCAATGTTGAGTGCCATGAAAGCCACACTAAAGCGGCACCTGTTTCTAGCTTATCAGATTAAAAAATTATTAAAATCCTCCTTTATAAATGTGTGTTCTGTTCACACCATGGTGCATAATAAACACAACCACAGGTGTACCACAAGGCCAAACTAGCTAATGTTTGTACATTCAGAGTTAGCATACATCATATGGGTAAATGCCCTAAACCAGCTATCTAACTTTATTAAAATGCACAATAGAAAATTATAGTTGATTTGCAAACTAGTGTAACAGTTGCCAATGCAAAAGTGTTGCGTTTTGTAAATGGTTAGTTTCTGTTAGTGAAAGAACCTCTGTTACACATTTCAGAACTTAAGGCACAGTCTTTGGAGTTTCATGTTGCAATCTAACTTATGCATACTATATTTGAATAAACCACAGGTCCATTTTAGGATACCATGTCATCACTGTATGAAGTCTAGATTGAATTGTCAGAGCTCACAATACATGTTGTGCTTTTGTATCTGACCTCCCACCAGGACCTTGACGACAACAACAAGAATACGCCCCCTGTCATACGCTACTGTGCAGTGTCTTCCATAGAGAGCAGCCACAAAGCACGAATTACTGATGTGAAATGGCTGCCACCGACATTTGAGGTACGCAGGGCTGGGGCTATTTTGCTTAAAAGCAATGCAGTTAAACATCCTTTAATGTTTTCTTGATATCAATCTTCTTTATCATAGCATCAGTTTGTTTTTCACTTTGGTACTGACATTTTTTTTGTTTCTGACAACTGCAGACAATATTTTTTGGTGGTCCAGGATTTCTCTCCCAGTAGTGGCTCGGCATAAAAGAAAATATTTCAGTATTCAGTACAGTACATCTAAAAAATGTGTGACCTGAAGTGATATTTGCTACAGGGACATGATGGTGTTTGGTCTGTCAATAAGCACAAAGAAGTGCCAATATATGTACAGCTAAACTAGCAGCTAGACAAATGTTCATCAGGAAATGATAATAAACTATGGTCTCACACAGATTCAATAGCTTCTTACAGTCCATAGAACATATGCATATTGCTAAGTATTTCTCAGGTCTTCTTCAGGAAACAAATACTACATGAGAAATCTGGCTTCTCATTTGGTCCTGTTTGTCATTTCTGTACAGGACACACACACAAAAAATAAAATCTGGATTCAAAAAAGGCAATTATCAAAGTGCCCCGAGGGAAACAATAACCTCCCATATGCCTTCACGGGAGCCACATTCTCCACTTTCAACTCTTTATAATACCAAGCCTGACACAAACATTTGTTGACTTTGTAACTCTCCCTGATTAGGTGACCAGGAGTGGCATACCGGTGGAGAACAAGAGTAACATTTGTGTTCAGATTGTCACCTGCTCCCCTGACTGGTAGGCCTTGTACAGAAAAATTATCAATTTAAATTTTACATATGACAGATATTGACTTACCAGGTATGCTTGTTTGTTTATAATGTGTGTCTGACTCTCATTTGATTCAGTTATTATGTTTGGCAGCTACATAAAACCTTTATAATTAAAAGTCCTGCGTTATAAATTTTGAACCTGTTGTACCACATTACAGGTCTCACTTTACTCACTGGAATCATCGTTTCTGTCGCTCACACACAAGCATGTTACATATTCTAAAGGCCTGATATGTGAATGCATAATATAAAGCATCTTTTGGTCTTTGTTTCTGTAAAGCACTGTATTGTTCTGGGATGTGCGAGTGATGAGACTGCTGAGCCAGTCAACATCAGAGAGAAGGCAGAATGTGGCTCAGAAGACCCAGCTGACACCCTACAGTGTCCCCGAGACCTTCAAACATCTGGACACCACGTGGAAACCGTTGTTCAGGGTATTATATTCATGGGTGTAATATGAAACTCAGTAGTTACTGTAGGTTATACATCAGTACAGTGTTTTTGACAGAGGTGAATTTTCAAATTATTGGACATTATTTTATTAATCTTTTTCATTTGTTTTCAAAATCTAAGTTGTGTACACCACATGATGTCAATCGTTGTTTCCTTCTCTGTCATGTGGCAGGTTTCCCTGCCAAAGATTGATGCCAGTGGAGAATATGCTCCTTTGAAGTTCAACTTTGAACCCTACACCTGTAATGGTAATGCAGGTATAAAAACAGGTGAGGAACTTTTACCCTTGAGGCTGCCAGTTTATATATTTCTGTCTCCATGAGCATTTCTTAGTTGCCAAACGCATGTCCCCTCGTCTTGGCTGGTTTTCAGGGGGTCTTGAATTTGGCTTTGGATGGCTTAGCACAGTGGGGCAGAGTTCACCTGGCCCTTGGATACTCTCTTTCTCTGTCTGTCTCCCTTTTCTCTCCTCCAGTTTCATAGCACTTTATTAAGTGATACCTCCAAAACAAGGCCCTCATAGTTGCAGAGCATTAGCCTTGCTCACTGTCAGCTCTTTGCAATATGGTGCTCAGGCTCCTTGGGGGCAAGAAGATGATCATGTGTGTCCTGGCTGGTCAAGAAGAGACCTGTCTTTGTCTGGCTGAAGGTCTGTCTCCATAAACACAGCTTTGGTGGCTTGTGGTTATAGAATTTATGTGCTCACTAACTGAGGTAATAAATCTGCTGCTTTTTTTTTCAGCAGCCCCCAGGCAGGCTGTTAATAAAGTTTTAATGAATCCCTACATGATTAATAATTTGGTGCTACTTCAGATATTTGACCCATATTGAATGAGTCTGTGCTGTCTGGCTCTGAGCCCTATATTCAGTATTTTGTTGTGTCTTTAACTACTGTATTTCTAAAGCTGGAGTCACCTGCACTGCTGTTAGAAGCCACTGCAGGAAAACTCCACTCTGCCCTGCAACAGTACCACATGATTTTCTACACAAAGCTTTTACAAGCAAGCCCTTGTGAGAATTAAGCAACAATGGAGCAGCAGTTCAGTGTGGCAAAAGTGAAACAATGTCTACATGTGTCTCATATTTTAACACACATCCTACCTTCAGGAAAGTGGATTTAGAAGATGTGTGATTGTGTAATTTGACCCAACCTTCAAGAGCTAGTCTAACAGGCTGAGGCTGATGCTTGAATCAGAGCGGCCCGCTGACAAAGGTGTGTGAATGGATAGTCCTGTACTGTCCCTGACAGACAGCTGGGCTTTTGTGGCGGAAAAGGTCTCTTCCATCACCATCAGCCCTGCCTATCACACCCCTCCCACCCTTCTCCCTTACTGTCTCCCTCACTTTACCTCCACCTGTTCTCCTTTTCTTTTCCACTCATCTTATATCCCCATTCACCTTAGCCATTCCCCGCTCCACCTCCCTCTTTTTTGCCCTTGTGTGGTTCATGGTTAAGTTACAGAGTAGCCTACAACAATGCCACTGTTCAATTTCTCCATTTTCCTTTCTTTAAATAAATACTAAATACTAGATACTAGATAAATGCTTATACCGTATATGATACAGGAACATGTACATTTTGTTGAAATAATGGTGTCTTTTAATCCCATGTGGGATGGGGCCCCTTGTCTGGCATGATATAGCAATAAAATAAAACTAACTAACTGAATGTTACAAAAAAGTATGACTTTTCAGCCTTGCCTTACTTTCTGCCCCATGACCTATGCCCTCTTGCTGTGTCCTCTGACAGAAGATACTGGTGAAGAAGATGAAAGCTCAGAATTCATCCCAGACTACAGTCAGCTCCGAGTGCACTCAGCCAAAACACTCACAGCCCTGGAAGATGTCAATACCAAGCTCTATATTGGAACAGAGGTAAACATTCCTACCAACAAAATCAACTTTTTACTTCAGTACAACTGATAGGTTTGTATTTTTATTTTAATCTGGCTTTAAATTATTGTCAGGTGTCCATATGAACATTAAAACAGATTTTGTTTGCTTACATTTTCTGTGTAACACTTTAACTAACAGAGCTGAATGCACAGCTAAAAAGAAATATGCAACATCTGCAGGTTTGTTCCATGTGTCCTTGTAACACTTTATATTTTTACTGCTAGGATGGGGAGATTGTTTACACTGACTGGAAACTGTGTAAGGATGACTCTGGGCAGCTGCACAGTAAGTGCATTAAGTGAATTTAAAGGAATATAACCAGTGTTTTCTTGACTATTGGCTACTTTCCAAAACAGAGCAGAATGGAGTTTGTTGTCACACTTTAATGTTATCTACGGGGTAATAGTTTTTTCAAAGTACTGAGACAAAACAAGCCACTAACAGTAACAGATATAATCAGATATAATCATAAATAATATGTCCAAATTACTACAATTATTTGAATAACCATTTTCATTAAACTGTTAGAAGCCACACTGAATGGAATCACCATTCTAAATTAGTCAGGGACACACAGGGTTAATTGGACTTTGTGTTATCCTGGTGCTTTGTCGAAACAAATTCCTGTCAAATGAAGCAGCATACCTTCTTTTCCTGTGTCTCCTCTCTCCCAGGTGCCAAGCCCCTGCACTGTGTTAACATTCATCACTGGGTGGTGAACACAATACAACGATCACCTTTCTTCAAAGACGTTATTTTGACAACGGGAGGCTGGAACTTTGCCATCTGGAAGGAGGGAGTCATGGTAACAGCATCTGTTGCTTCAGCTACAGTACAGTAGCTACATTTAATATAATTTAAATCCTTGAATTTATTATGATGCATCCAACAAAGATAGAATAAATGATATTTAACCCATAAAAGATCAGACTGATTGCATTTTAACTTCACTGACTCTTTATGACATATAGGACGGCCCCATCATGGTGTCACCAAGCTCTGAGCTGCTGTGCACTGTAGGATGCTGGTCCCTGACCCGACCAGCTGTTTTCTTCATTGGGAAAGAGAATGGCAGTATTGATGTGTGGAACCTGGTGAAACAGACCAGTGAGCCTTCACAGGTCCTCACACACATCACTACCACCAAGATTACCTGCATCTCCCCCTGGATCTCTTCCCGTGAGTTCCTGGCCTCTTTTGATGCGCCACGCAGCTTATTATTTTCTGTCACTCTTTGTTGGATATGAAAAGGTATTAAATTGCATTTACTGCTTTATTAAAAAGGTCTTAACAGTCTTCAGTTTATTTTGGTGAACACTGCAGAAACCCTTTAACTTTAAATGACAATAAATAAAGGTGAACCTCTTAGACAACTTGCTGCTGTACTGTCACAAGATCTCCCTCCTGCAGCTCACCTGAAAACTCTGCTACTGCTATTTCTACTGCTGTTTTATCTATATTTTCACAGCCTTGGCGATAAGATTTCTTCAGCTCATTTACTGGATTTCTTTTGTTTGTTTTTGTACCTAAAGCCAAGCAGCACTTCCTGGCTGTGACTGATGACCTTGGAATGGTTCGTGTTTTCAAAATCCCAAAGAAGCTCTGCATTCCCTCCAAGAGTGAAGTGAGACCATTCATACACTTCCTATATACTCACTTCACAGGAGACTGAGTTGTCTGTTTATTGTTTTTTTTTTTTTTTTTGCAAAATAGTAAGGTTGACAAAGTGAGGTAACAATTTCAGCAGCACAGCATGTTACAAGTTTAGTGTCAGGTTTTGTTTTGCTGCTTTGCTGCGTTGATATTATATGGACAGATTTATTGGCAAAAGTTTAGACAGATTAGTGTTAAGATTGGTATAATGTTTACAACAGTTGAAAAAAATGTTATTAGAGAAATTAAGTTATGGCTGCCTGAACAGTGACCATCATGCATTAGAGCTCCTAAGCTGCGATTTTCTATGTGCAGAGTCTGAGTGTGAAAAAGTACTTTGAACTGGGAGAAGAGACATTGAAGAACTTTTTGAAAAGGGAGGAACTGTGGACAAAAGAAAAGAGAGAGGCTGAAGAACCCAAGAAGGCGAGTGCTGAATTCTAAACTTACAGTGAACATAAGGTGCCAGTGTGCTTCGAACAGTGTGCATGTAAGAAGGTTGAACTGGCTTCTTACTTTTATGAATGCCCTGAAGACAAGCTCACTGCAAAGTGTTATCCCTGTATCCCCTCTCTATGACACAAATTTCTTCACTTTGAAGATCTAAAAATGCTTTTGCCTTCAGATGTGGTTGGAGAACATGCCATATGAGCTAGTTTGCTTCAGGCATACTGCTGCTTTTACAGCTAGAGAAGTAGGTTTGGGAGGTTGTTCATTGAATCCTCATGCAGACTAGTGTGATTCTTATTCAGATAAGAAAATGCACAATAGTCGCTATTGCACCACTAAATATTTGCTGTTAATGTGGCCTTGAATGAGGCATTGTGTCCTCAGCTACACTCTAACTCTCTGACAGCCACATGTATTTGTGGGCAGTCCTCTGACTGCACAGACATTTTTATTGACCAAGTTAGAGGCATGTACACTGGTTCAAAGTTGACACTGGGAAAGCTGGAGCGGGCGATCCCTCTTTCTGTCTCTCTGTTCCTATCGATGTCACTCACTCTCTCTCTCTCTCCTCATGTTTAATTCATTCAGACTGTTATTCGATCCTGAGCAGCGGGGATAGTATGGTTATTGACAGCCAGTGCCTGGCAGTCTGGCTGCTAATTATAGAAGCTAAATATTTTAGTGACTCAATGTTTCAGCGTTAGACTGGAGGACAGTTTTGTTTTCCCACATTTGTGGATGTTCTCTCCTTGCTCCTCCAAACAACCTAATATTTCTCACATATACTGCTATGGTACTGTGTGTTTACTTCCAGCCTTTGTCTTCGCATGGCAAGGACAAGACACCTCAGGAATTTGATAACAAACATGGCCATCTGCTTACTGTTATCCTATATGGCCAATGTGTATGTGTGAGCAGCTGCATGTGGGATTGCATTATTAAAATTAAATTAAAGGTGATCACAGAAAATTATGTTTAACAAACCTCCTTTAATAAAGCTTTTTCCTGGTATGCGAGAAAAGGATGGAGAAATACCTATACAGTAGTTTAATGTGTACATTTTTTATACCTTACCTTATCTTATAGACTTTATGATCACCAAAAACAATCAAAAAACCCCCACAGTATATTGAATGCCAAGGTTTTTCTGTAGCCACAAAGGTTTTCCACACTTGGAGATTCTCGAACATTTACAATTTGAGGCATTTAAGCAAGAAACTAGCCATAGTAATAGTTTATTACATGTGATCTGGATCTGACAATAATGCCCAAAGATGGGAAAACATGAGATCCTGGCTAAGGAGAAGTGTCACAGTGCCCTGTTCTTCGCTACATACTATTTATGACACTAGTTCCTCTCTCCAGGAGCCAGACAAGCCAGTGAAATCCCTCCAGGAGAATAAAGAAAAGGACTTGAAGGAGTACCGTGAGTACCTGGCACTGGAGGAAAGCATCCTGCAGGGCATGGGCCTGAGGCCGGCTACTGCCATCACACATGAGACTTAGTATCACACCCATTCACATACACGTGAAAATTACTTTTTGGAAAAAACAAAGACTTCTCATGTTTTTGTATTTGATTTAATAACATTTTTTAATTTTATGGCCTTAACCGTTTTTATAAAGACGCTGTCTGAGATATGTGTACGTGAAAATCCCTTTCACACAGTGTTTTGTTTTTGTTGCTGTTTTAACTATTCAGTATGTATAATTAACTATTGTTTTTGAAATATGATCTATGAACTGTGTATATGTACAATATGAGAACAGTGAACTGATCCTGCCATCAACACTCAGACAGTCCTTGGGTTGGGGATTCAGGGTCACCAATGGCATTTTTCCCCCACCCACCCATCTGAGATCTAGTTACTGGGTAATGTCATCCATTAGTGCTTGCTTCAGCATCACTCCCTCAGGATACAGTTTGGAATGATCTTGGCAGGAAGTAATTTATGGCTATTTAATTTCACGATATTTAATCTTATTTGTTGTTAAATGATCCTCAAGTATATAAATTAATGTTGTATGACTCATCTCATCAAGGGATTTAAAAGTTGCACGCCACAGCCAAAGGATCCTTAGTACAAAAGCTTTTACACTAATCATAATTGAGGAATGATCCTCAAAGGGTAAAATTACATCCAATTTTAGGCAACACACTCATCATCATAGCATCTGTTTGAATGAGCTGGAGTGGGTCAGTGGAGGCCGGATTTCATTTCAGAAATTCCAAGTTAGTAGAAAACATAGTTGCACCGCTGACTGCATAATGTGAAAGAGCGCCCTTTCAGTGATGACCCCAAAGACAATTATTCACCTCAGCTTTGTGCTGTGTTTTTGCTTCTTTTCAGCTCATTATTTTGACGTTTACAGCCCACAACGCTAGTGTTTTGGTTCAGTCTCACTGCTGTCTTCTACCATCCTTCCAGCCACAGCAGGCAGCTGTTTTCAGCAGAAGAGCTATACCTTCCCAGCACTAGACAGACAATGCTAGTTAGTAGCTGGCGAGTGCAATGGAGCATTTAGCAGCTATAGAGCCAGCAGTTCTCATAAATTGGTGGAGACCACAGTTGGCCACAACCACAAACTTCAAATGAATGATAATTATTTTCTTTATTTGGTGTATGTGTCAAAAAGCTATTCTTTGCTAACATCTTTGATATTACATCTTTAGAAGGTGATGAGATGTCGTGTGTACAGGTTTTCCTGCCATTAATTCTGCTTTAACTTCTAAATAGTAGTCACGCATTACCTCTAGATTTGAAGCATCCAACCTAACAGGTTGCAGTGACTGTGACTATTTTCTAATGTGAATCCAGTCATTCTAATGACAAGATTCTTATAATATCATATTCAGTGAGTATTTAAATCAGTAACATTACCTGCAGGTATCCATATTGTTTTCTGCGGCTAGGTGCTGTCTCATTTGTTGTTGAGGTTGTTTTGAGGTTGAGGTGAATGTTAGGTGAGAAGGAAGGAGAGAATGAAAAGAAGGCAAGAGATGGAAAACAGTTGATTCCCTTCAATAAAAGTGAGCTGGGCTCAACTTCTCTCTGGCCATAACTCATTCACATCAACGGTCTTGTCACAGAGCGGAGGGAGTAGAGGAGGGTGAAGAATGGGCTGATGTGGCTGCATAGAGGCAGGCGTCCATATGGCCCCCGAGGCACCAACAAGGCTCGGATGACAAAAGGGGCCTCTCCTCTTTGGTTGTCCCCCCCTCAACCCTCACAGGGCGTTCTGTTTTCAGTCTCTCCTCTGCAAAGCTTCCCACTTTCTCCCAGGCTGCCTCAGGAATGTATCATCACACTCACTGCTTAGTTATTATTGTAATGGCTAATGCAAAGAATGTGCAGTTGAGTAAGCCTGCTGACAATGTAAACACTCGTGGCATTTGAACTCCTGCTGCTCAATGCTCACATTTAAAGCTGTGGACAACAGACAACAGCACGGCCATAAACCCAGTTTCCTCCACTGGCGTGAAGGGCGTTTATGATACCAGATTTTCCTCTGTTGAGTTCTTCATCTAAGTCCAAGAGATTTAACAAACAATAAAAGAGATTATTGAGTAAAGGTGTTGTTAGAAAATGGAATGTCTGCAGTCTAATTTTTATCACCAGTTCTTCAAAGTTTTTAAAGCCAAATCCTGGGAAACAATGTGAGCAGGTGCAGGAGGGGCTGTAAATCTGGCCTGGTGAATTAAGCCATTGCTTTGGCATTGTTCCGACTGGCCTCTTAGCTGCTCCCGCTGGGGAGGGCATGAAGTGTGGTGGGGTGGAGCAAGGGTCTGCTGCCACATTCTCCCAACATGGCGGTACCCTGCCCATTTCACACATCATCAGCTGAGCCGGACCTCGGCAGCAGAAGGAGAGATACAAGTCACACATGACAGGTTTTGCAGGAAACAGACAACACAAACAACACAACAAAGAAAGAAGAAAACAGTCAAGTGGATGCTTCTGAAAGTTATATTCAGACTTGTTTCTTGCTCTCTTTTCTTGTCCATCAGAACAACACATTGGCATCTTGTGTAAACGTTAGCTGGGAAAGGACATTTCTGTTTCTTGAAGAAGGAATTTAATCAGCATCTTCCCAGTGGGTAAATTATTCTCAGGCTACATTTCATTGCTGTTTCTCTTTAAAACCTCTGACAGGCTGGTGGTAGGTTTCATTAGCTGACCCTTGACCTCTTAAAAGTTCAGGTGACTGGGGCACTGCAGTGGAATGTTCCCTTTGGACTCCTTTTCATTTTCCAATCTCAGTTTGGATTTTTGTCATTTTACCAGATTTCCCAGTGGCTGCAGAGTGCAGCACACGCCTGTACAGCAGCCCGGCTAAAAGGAATTACCTTGGAGTCTCTCAAAAGTTTTATTTAGTTATTACTTTACTTTATATTGTCCTTGTTTATAACTTTTTGTAATGTATTTCTGAAGCTTTTCTATAAAAAATAGTTTGTTATTATTCGGAGTAAGGACTTCCACTGAGGCAAGAGATTCTCACTCAATCCTGCTGTGCCTGGCAGCGTGAAGGACTAATGTTCTGCAGTCTGAACCACTTCAAAGGTTGCTCTTCAGTTGGGAAATACTCACATTATTTTTACCAAAAGAATCCAGGTTTCAGGTGCTTTAATCTCACATCATCAGCACTGAATGCAGAAATTTTTATATGACCAGGATTCAGACCCATCAGAGTGGCATCTCAAACCTCTCATAAACCTTTCAGGCATCTGTCATTTTGAACCGTCTTTGACATTCTGTCATCAGTGACGACAATCCACAAAACAAAACAAAAGTTTTATAAAGTATACCATTTGCAACCGTGAAATAAAGTTTATTAGTTTGACATTTTAATACGCTTGCTCAGTTTGCTGGGGGAAGTTGATGTGAAGCCAGAGGCTAGTTAGCATAGCTTAATGCAAAGACCGAAAAACCAGGAGATTAAGTTAAGCATTAATACATTATTAAAAAGCCCTCGTGAAGACTAGCATTATTCTCCACTTTAGTTTTAGTGGTGCTAGTTGTAGGTGAATTTTGTTAGTGCTGGACAGAGCCACACCAGCCCCCACCCACACACACACACACACACACACACACACACACACACACACAAGTTTAACTGCTGACAGCTGCAGAGTGCTCTGCTGACAGGAGGCAGGCGATAACATAGACTAAAATACCTACTATACCTTTTCTGGAGAACAAAGTTATCACCGCCCTTCATATCAGCATGATGTTAGAGGCTGCTGGTTGGAGGATGAATCAGTATTAAAGGTGCACCACCTGCAGGTTTATCTAACCAGTGAGGCCCAAATGTTCTCACCGGGCTGCTGTCAAGGCTTCTTTTCAGTGTCACCTTTCACATTTTTCTCTCCTATCAAGCAGAGCAAACCCTCACCCTCATCCTGTCCTCACACTGAAAGGAGATTGCTGTCTTCAGGAGGAGTGGGAGGGATAGAGGTGATGAGCAGCTTACCTCTAAGGGATTAGCCTTATTAAAATGAAATAGTCTAGTCCTGAGTGACAGACCAATGGAGGTGGAGGAGGGAGGCAGCAGGGAGGACAGAGGAGAGGGCCTACGTTATGTGAGTCTTGGCCCCCAAGGATCTGAAGGGCCGCCCCTCTCTGCTCTCCGTCCCTCTGCTCTTCACTTTCACCGCTCCTCATCTTCTCCCCCTTTTTCCTCTGGTCTGCTCTCTCATCATCACTGCGGTCCAGAACAGGTGGATCTGTCAGCGGTGCATCAAGAGATCTGCCCAGAGGCTCTCAGATGAGCTGCCAAGTACAGGGGCTGGACTGTAGGGGAACAAAAGACCCCCAAAAACATATAAAAAAAAGCTGGGACCTTGGTAAAATGTGTTTAATAGCTGTCCCATTGAAGGCTACCGCATGTATGGTATGTCTTCCCAGGGTCAGTGTGCAAAGGCTCCCAGCAATTACCCAAGTTTAGTTCTACCATGTTTATAAGGAGTGAATAGGTGTGGGAAATATTAACCAACCTGAGGTTCTCAGAAAATGTCCAGTGAAAGATGGAAAAGGACTGAATATCCTAAACATGACTGTGTGATTTGAAAACCAGAGAGCTCACAATGTTTTTGTCATGTGCTGAGTCTTTCTCATCTTGCACTGAGAACAAGATACAGTTCTTCCTCTGGAAACAGCAATGAGAGCGTTAAAATCCATGAAAATGGGATTTTAAAATATTTCCTGGCAACATAAAATATTGATGTCTAAATAAACAACAGAGTTAAAGTTTGGGGGGAAAATTTGTTTCAGTCACATCCACTCAAAACCTCAGCTAATCTGTTTTATTTTAGTTTTGGGGCAGCTGTGGCTCAGGAGGTACAGTGGGTTGTTCCCTAATTGTATGGTGGGCAATCCCCAACTTCTCTGGTTCACATATTTGCCTGTCCCTGGATAAGCACTGAACCCCAAGTTTCTCCTGGTGATGTCAGCTAGAGAACATTGGTGTGCTCGAATGGGTGAATGGAAAATAGTGTAAAGCGCTTTGAGTGCACTTCGATATAGAAAAGTGCTATATACTGCAAACATAAGGCCATTTGCCATTTATTAATGTGGGTGTAGTTTGATCAGATATGATTTCTGCAGCTGACTGTATGTTGCTTGCATAAAATACTGCACTTATTGTCAATTACTTTAGTTTGTCATATAAAATGATTTAAATATTTAAATACTCAGTAGTTCAGCAGATAACAGGTACAATATCCCCAAACCTTCAGACTTTATTGACCCATCTAAACCTAACTACACCAAACAGAAGCACAAAAACAAAAGAAAAACCTAATTCTGATGTTGGCTTGTTGACTTGCAGCTCTTATGTTGATTGAAAGAATGACAAGAACATAACTTTCCTTGTTTGAAGGCCAGTTGAGATTAGGTGAACAGAGGTGGGGAAGAAAAAGAAGAAGAAGGGGAGAAAATATCTGATTTCACTTACAGATTTCACTTTTATCTAAAAAGATCTATGTCTCTCCTTTCTCCCAAATTAGAAATGAACAAAAGTTCAGCTGAGTTCACTTCGACAGGTGGCCCAATATCAAGTGGCTATCCAAACAGGCTTTATGTTATTATGTCTACCTCTGTCTTCATATGGATTTCACTCTTGCTTTCATTGATGCCAAGATAACAGTTTTTTAAGTCAAATTTGGATGAAATACTTTTAAAACAGACACTTGTTGCATTTAGAGTCAGCATCTGAATCTAAATATAATGTCAAACCCTTTTACAGATGTTTAACAATGGAATTCAGAAAGTTAGAAATAAATATAACAAACTGAGTGGATCCTTTCCCATTTAGGCTTTGTGAAAGACCCAAAATAACTTCAGAAAGAAAGGAACATCATTCTCCATGTTTAAAGTTATACATATTTCAGACAGTCAGTGAAATATTTGGCTCTGTCTCTGTCCAGATAAAGTCTGATTCTTTAGAGGCATGTAGATGTTTTTTTTCTTAACTTCAGAGAGGGTATAAAACAGGGCCATGGTATGTGCACATTTTCTACACTAAACCATACCTATTCAACACAGTCATAAAACATATGAACCTCCAGTAGCGACATCAAACAAGGCTGAAAACCATTTAGTTCTAAAAGGCCTGCGGCTGCTCCGGCTTCTTGTGCTAGCTGCCAGAGATGTGTATCACCTCTGCTAGAGCCACATGGGCACAATTTAGAGCTCATTTTACAAAATACATCATATTGAAAATGACATTTAACTGTTTCCACTAACTGCTTTTGGGTGCACATTGTTCTGAATGTGTATATATCTCACAATTGTTGGTGGTAATGTTGGTTTTTGGAGCCACAATGAAAGTGTAGCCTTCCGGCAGTGGATTTTACTGGATGGTTAAATGCAGCTGCATCTGGGAATGTCCCTGAAGCTCAGAGTTGTTCTGGGACATTTCCACAAGCCAACAAGGGCAATTCCCTGACTTATTTATTTGTACTCTACATAGCCTGGGTTATAAAGCTCCCATAAGCAGAGATGAATCTACAAAAAACCCCAGAGGGTCCTGATGTTAAGGTTATCTTTTCCCATTGGTTTTCAGTGAGAACACAAAGAGTTTTATGAATTGTTTGGGAAAGTACAACAGCACTGTCAAATCATTTCAACCAGAGCAATATAGCTGCTGAGCCACATGCAAATGATTAGATTCTGTTAAGGAAAGGAAAGGCTGAAAACAAAACCAAACTTATACATGTAATAAAAACTAAGGAAATGTCTGAGATAAAACTAATTTACATGTTAGGAGGTTACAGGAGAAACCAAGAAGCAATAATGAAGTTTGAACCACTCGCCAAAACACACAGAAGCCAATGGAGAATGTAAAATAATATACTTTATTATGACCATACATTTCTCAGGATCAATACAGTTTTCTGTTGTTTAGCTGTGCTTTCCATGTGACAGGTTCTCTCCATAGAACAAAGATCTCAAGACATATTAAAACAAAATAGTAATGCAGATATTTGTTGTTGATTTATTTTGTGACAGACAGAGAGGAGGGAGCTCAAAGGCCAGTTGCATATTAGTCAAACTGATGCTGTGGAGGCAGGAAGGCAGCTCAAATCTGAAAGGCAATCCGCAAATTACAATCTCAGATTTATCAAAGTGCAGCTGGTGCCACACGTTGGCTTTTTAAAATGAGGCCCTGGCTGTTTCGTGCTGTCTGATGGTTTGAAAAGAGCCCTGCTGAATCTCACTCCCACCAGAGTGAGAGCAGCAGAATCATGCACAGATGCCACGTAGGAGGGCAGGTTTGGAAAAACAGAGAAAAGTGACATGAAAAATATGAATAAAAAAGCAAACTCCACACCAAACGTCCATCTAACCAGGTTATTCTTTTTCAAGCTATGTTAAATTTTGTAACCGGGTGAAGACACTGTCCCCAAATTAGATTTTCAGATTACTGAAAATTTGGTCATCTTTTCATGAAAACATTTGAAAGATTAGGCTTCTAAACTTTAAGAATTTGCTGTTTTCCTTTATCTTATGCAATAATACACTAAATATTGCAGATTTTTGGACCGAGTTTGAAATTTATTGTCACTGTACAGTATAAAAATCTTCCAGAATTCTGCCAAAAGTCCCAGTATTTTATAAGGCAAAATATTCATTGAGAAAATAATTGGAGATGGAATGACTGTCTGTTGAAATTTATTGTCACTGTACAGTATAAAAATCTTCCAGAATTCTGCCCAGTTTTTTTATATTTTATAAGGCAAAATATTCATTGAGAAAATAATTGGAGATTGAATGACTGTCTGCCTTCACGTCTCCTGGAGAAGACCTGTTTTGACCTGGGTGTCAAACAAATAAGCAAACATTACAAGATAGTCTTTTGACACATAAATATCAAACACAAAGGCAGATGAGAAAGAGCCTTGTTTATGTCAGTAAAGCTTTTGACCATGCAATGTCCAGTACCTTTAAAAAAAACACCAAAAATTATGAACACAGCTTAGTCCACAACACAATATCAAATATATACACAATATACCAAAAATAACAATATCACTTTCTGCAAGAGCACAGTTTTATCATATTTTAAATTTGTACCATTAGTCCAGCACATTAAGATGTGTACAGGTAGCTCAAAGGGAGGAAAGCAACTATTGCTACAATTCAACACTACGAGGTCATCAGAAGTATTTAAATATGCCATTGAAATAGAAGCTGTAAAAATATTATACTCCAAATACTTTTATATAATTATGTACATATAGGTTAAATACTGATCATTCTGAATCCCTGCACTGCTGAAAACATCCTCTGTCTCTTTAGGCAGCCACGTCAAACTAACTGAAGCCCTTCACCAACAGTTTCCACTGCCGGTCTGAAAATTGTGCTTCACATTTGGGCTGTGTCTATTTCACGGTTTAGCCAAAAGCAGGTAGAAGCTGAAGGGTGGTGAAATGGCAGTTTCTAAAGAAATAGCCTGACATTTTGAGAAATATTTGCTTACTTGCTAAGAGGTACTGTAGAAGATTGATACCACTGTCATGCTATCTGATTAGTATAGCATAAAGAGCCTGTACAACCATAAAGAGATGTTTTTACAATTTTCATTTTACTTGAAATAAATAAACAAACATATAATGTTTTATTTAATGATCTGCTAAATTGTAAGGAAAAAGTTCTTATCTCTTTATCTACTGTATTCTTTCAGTCTTTATGCTAACCTAACCTAAGCTAAGCTAACAGTCTAGCTTAATATTTACTGTACATAACTGAGAGTAGTACCAATTTTCTCATCTAACTCTCAGTGAAGAGAACAGTGTACTTCCCAAATATGTCAAATTTCTTCTTTAAGACTAAACTGACCATGGTGTCACATGAAACAGATGTTGTCTTGTTTTTAGTTGCCTGTGTGAATGTTAGCATCTCTGACAGATGTGCCTGTAGATGGGTCTAAACATGGAAAATCCAGCACAAACTACACAAATTTCAACTCGTGTTCTTTCATATTTATCTTTTTTGAGGAGGTTTCAGTGGCGGCTGTTTCTCCCACAGTTCAGTCCACAGGTAGAATATTTTTTTACTGCATGAAATCTAAAGACAATCTACACTACTGTCTGCCTATAAGTGCATCATTGTTGAATAACATTTAGCGTTTCATACCTCGACAGAAAAAACTCTCTGCTGCCTAATAAAGAAATCTGTTCTGAAACTGAATAAGCACAATTTCCCTTGATAATCTCAGGAACAATCCACCAAATTTAAAATTTACCTTTAAAAACTGTTATGTATGTATGCATAATGTGTGCTATGGCCCAATTTGGACCAGTCTGCTCTTAATCTGTCCCCTGCAAGTCTTCATGTTTTATAGAGAAGTAATATAAAATTGTTGGAGTACCACAGTTGATATATAATAAGATTAGAGGCCAGAAACTAGATGAAACCAGATGCTTTAAACTCTGGAATTAAAAAAAACAAATCCTGGAGTTTTTTTATTCATCATCAGACACTAATGTTCCGGCTTTAACCATATTTCTTCTGCCACCAAAATTGATAGAGGGGCAACTTTGACTATAAAACCAAAAAATATGTTTTTGTTTTCTTTTCACATTGTATATTTTTGAAGGAAACCAATTAATGTATGCCAAATTCTTCATAGAGATTCTGCCGATAATTGGCCAAACTAGAAGTATTGAGATGTTTTGTTACAAAAATGTATCCACATAAATATTGTCTATCACTAATTTTGCTTTGCAAATATTAACATTCATGTCACTGCTTAAAAGCATGCATGAGTACAGCCCCTTAGTACCCAGGGTGAACTCATACCTGTCAATGTATGAATATGTTTTTGTAACATCGTGTTATACTGTTGGTTGCCAACGCTGTACCACGATCATAGAAGGGGATGCATTTCATTCCAGGGTCTATTTTCATCTCGACTTATCACCTTCACACAATTAAGGCACCTTTTAAACCCCTGAGGGGTCAATGGGTTCTTCTAATAAGAAGAGAAACAAACCAGCAACAACAACATAAGGTAAGACACTCAACAAAATAAAAGAAAAAACAAGCACATGAGGAATGTGTATGGTAAGGTACAAATGCCAGACGTACCCTATTACATTTCTTTCCATTGTACCCTTAAGGGTTTTACAGCAGCACTGCACGAGATGTTGCCATGGTGATGTCACAAGATCTCCATGGAAACACTGTGGCTGTATCCCAAAGCACCTTGATTGGTAAGAAGGTCTTCCCCAAACCTCACCATACTTTACGAGGGTGTGTGTGTGTGTGTGTGTGTGTGTGTATGAGGAATCAGTAACCGATGTTGAGCTTGTTCTTGTTGAGCTCTCTCTCCAGGTTTCCTATCAGGGTGTCGATGCTCTCCTGCAGGTCTCTCAGGTTGACTCTGCTGCTCAGCACAGGGCTGATGTCCTGAATTTTCACATAGGCTTGGTAAGTGTGATCTTTAGGCAGCGGTGGTGGCAAGATGTGGTCGCACACCTTGTCCTCCTTCTCGTCCTCTAACAGCTGTCCGTTTCCTGAATCATCGCTCTCAAGTGGCTTCTCCTCCTCCTCCTTTTCTTCCTCCTTCACCTCTTCCCCTTTCGGAGGTTGCTCCTGCTCCGTGGGATCAGGGCTCATGACCTTCTGCCCTTTATTTTCTTCCTCATCCTCAGGCTTCTCCTGCCCCTCCTCAGCTGTCTCTGTATCCTCAGAGGGCACATCATCGTAGTCTGCCTCCTCTTTGCTGAGAGGCAGCAGAATTTCAGAAGGGAAGTAGCTCTCACCGCAGCCGCTCCAGTCACCGGCGTAACGGTTGCTGGGGCTGTCCAAACGTCCTAATTTGGGCCGCAGAACACCTGCCATCTCCACATCAGTGAGGTTCAAGAATTGAGGGCGCTCTTTTCTCCGCCGTAGAGGTGCTGACAGCAGGTCTGATGAAGCAGGTACCAAAGAGGCTGCAGGGGGCTGGGGGGAGGAGAACTGGCTATGTGGGTCCACAACTGCAGGAGTGAAGAGGAAAACAGACAAGGTAATCAGATGTATTCATTGAACTAATATTCTTCAATGACTAGTTTGACACTTATTTTTAGTTGAAAATAAACTTGAAAATAAACTTATTTGCTTTCTAGACAAGAATTAGATGAAAAGTTCTCAAGTCTGTATGGTAAAGTTAGCTCGACTCTGAGCTTCAGTGCAATTTAGTTTTTGATTAGTTTTTTTTAACCTTTATAAAGAACATTTTCCAAAAACTAGACAATGATTGTTTAAAGGCTTAATTTACCCAAATTAAAATGTGAAAAAAAGCTAACTATCCATGATTTTCTGACACCACATCTGATCGGTAGAAAGTAGTTCACAGTGAGGTCTGTGGATCATCCTAAGTATTGTTAATGAATGTTCACACTAATATTTAAGTTTTTTAAGTGTAGTTCCAGAAATCTCAGCATTAGATACTTGACAACTTCATGTTTCATGGTCATACTAACACTGAAAATCATGCATGAAAGCAAGAAGCTGTACCGGCAACACATCAAATTCCTACTATTTAAAAAAATACCACATATTTGTCATAGAAAAAAACATAAAAAGAAGATCATTAAGTCGTTGGAGTCCTGATGTATGACACGTCAAAATAATCCAAATGTGAAAATGCCATGCTATGCTCAAAGTCAGACAAACACACGCTGAGGTCACACCATCACACTCTGTGACTTTGAGGTTGTTTGTTATCAACTGCTGACTAAGCCAGACTTAAAAATTGACAAATCTCTTTGGGTGCTATGCAGAGGAACAAGAGAGAGCACTCTACCACAACCAGCACAATTACCTGTCTGTCTTTATCTCTGCATAACCCTCTATATACTTGCTGACACAGCTAGCTCTCCCTGACTGGATTGGAAAGGGACAAAAACTGCACTTAGGGCTACAAGTCATGTACAAGAAGCGCAAAACAAAACAAATTTTTATTTAGTCTCGGGTGTAAGAAAGAGAACCTTGAAAGTTTTTTTTTTCCAGAAGAATTTTTGACTAACAGTTTATTTGTACATGCCTTCTAACAAAAATGATAATGAATTACAAACCATGTTGACTCCAGTTCATTCATCAGGCTTGGCTGTGCTCATACAATACTTGCGTTCAGTGGCTGCACACCTTGCAGCTCTTCTCAAGCAATTATCATCTAAAACAAACACAAATTATCCTCCTTCAAGAGACACTGTGTTATTTGATTTCAGACATGATTCACTAATGACGTGATTTATGTTATTTGTCGTCAGCAGAGACCCTGAAGGAAGAAGGCAAACAAAAACACTGACGCTTACAATAGAAAAAATGTGCGTTATGCGCTGATTGTTCTCCAGTCTGTCTATGAATAAGATGAAAAAAATGAGCTAAAGGCTCTGATGTGGTGGATTTTATTCATTATTTCATTTAAGTGTATTAGTGATGACATTTTTTTAAAGAAATAATTTGAGTTCTTAATATTTTTATTCATTTTATTTTAACTGTGTCCACAGTTTGGAGACACTTTCAAATGCAATTCATTGGGAAAATGTGTTGAAACTTTTGAGCTGTAGTGTAGAATGAAAGGGCACAAAAACAAATAGGGATAAAATCACTTTATATGTAAAGAGACTATAAAAATTTGTCTGCAGTATTTATGTGCAGAGGCAGTGAAACTCTATGGTTTTTAACATTGAACTTTACTGAAGCCAACAATAATGTATTATTATCACTACTGATTAAACATGCATCTTTATAGGCATCTGTAGTTTATTCATGTATTTTGGGGCTTGTGGCAGCTTTATACTTTGTAAAATAAACAAAATAATTAATCAGACTTACACCTGAGTTTGTACAAAAAATGGGATATCATGCATCATGTGGAGGAAGGACAACTTAAGAGGCGTTGCATAAGACAAAAATGAATGCACAGAGTGTTATCCCTACACACAAGCACAACAGCAAGTGCCTAATAGAAACAAATGAGCAAACACATATTCTCCTTTACTTCCTGTCATTCTGTCTGTCTAACCATCTGCTCACATCTACGATCGTACAACTGGCAAACTACAAAATCGACACTGAATACACAACACCTCCTCAGCCTCTTTAACACATACAGTAGACACACACTCTAGCACACTTCAAATCAAATCAAATCAAATTTTATTTGTATAGCGCCAAATCACAACAAAAGTCATCTCAGGACACTTTACAAAGTAAGGTCTAGACCTTACTGTTATCAATACTATTACATAGGGAAAACCCAACAAATCCCCCTTGAGCAAGCACTTGGTGACAGTGGGGAGGAAAAACTCCCTTTAACGGAAGAAACCTCCGACATACCCCGGCTTTTGGTGGGCGGCCTTCTGCCTCGACCGGTTGGGGTGAGTGGATAGAGGAGAGACAAAAGAAGAAAAGCAACAAGACACAACAATCAAACACTGATCAGGTCGATGTGGCTGGTGACTGCTCGTCAGAGACGTAGAGCTCCAGGGC